TGTATTGTAGACAGGAATAATCCTTTTCTTAGGGAAAGGATTGTTTACTCGTTTAACAAAAAAAGAGTGTTGAATCTAAAGAATACTTTAAAATTTTGAAAAAAAAAGTACCAACTTTTATCAGTGGATGTTGTTTATGAATCAATGCCAGTATTACTTTGACCTAGGCGAAACACTTTTATTTAAAGTCATCGTCTTAACTGAATAAAGATAAATAGAAATCTTTGTTGAATCAAATGTTTGTGAAAGGTAAAAATTGTCGCCCTTATTATTGTCACTGACAACTTTTATTGCTGATATAATTTAAAAAAAAAACTAAATTTGTATGGTTAGGATGCGCTTGTGTTATTGTATAATAATATAATCTCGACCAAATTTCGATCACGGCAGTAAGTCTGAGCGAAGCCTAACTATCTACGTAGTGTATATGACAAGTTATAGTCCACGAGTGTGGGTGCAAGCACGGGTGCACTTTTTATTCCCTAACTATCATAGTGAGATGTCAGGCGTAGGACCTAAGGTATTACATGCTTTTTGAAGGTACTGGACTGAAAAACCACCAATTCCGACAGCGGATTTTGGTATAACACTCTGCAAATTGGTAAACTGTAGTAACAACGACACTTTAATGTTATCAGCATAGAGCAACAGCATCAATATTTATCACCATCAGCTAGAAGAGTATTCTGTCGTCCTCCACCAGTCTACTGCTGGATGACAGGCCTCTGCCAAAGTAAGAGATTAGCATAATGAGTTGATAGAAAGTTTATATATTCTTTTTTGTTTCTTTTCAGCTTTGAACATTTAGACAAATCAACTCGATCCATGAATAAATATTTACCTCCAACGTAGTTTTGCATTACTTAATAGCGCCGCACTAATAAATCCAATTTAAATGTAGCCTGGACCTCCACTGACATAACATATGTAAATCCATACATCTTTATCTTTGGGATCACAAAAACAAAGCCGATCGATGCGAACATTAAAAAAAAACACCAGTCCAGTCGCAAATTCAAAAAGGGTGGCCGCCGTCCGCAGCATCATTATTTTTACAACGAAAATTAACTAAATTCCCATAATTTAAATATCGACTATCTGCAATAAAAGAAATAATTCATCCGTACCTTCTTTCGCCCTCTTCTTATATTATTATACATATATAGATATCTCGTTTTATTCTAAGTACATATGATTGAAGATTTTGATTTTTTTGCTGACGACAATATAGTAATCATTATTTAGAAGTTAAAATTATAGATTTTGTATTTTTATTATTCTTATTTATATTGTTTAAATAAGTAGTGCAGAAATATACAAAACTTTTAAAATGCAGTTATTTTTAAAATAATCCTATACAACATAATAAATATAAATACTCTTGTCTAAGTTTTTCTTAAGATATTAATTTAAAATATTTTAAATTCTGCAATAAATTAAGGATTCAAATATTTTAAATGTAAAAAATCAAATTAAGTGTGATAAGGAAAGATTATATTTTATACGGCTTTCAACTAATAATATTCTAATTATTCAGGAACAGGCAGGATCTTAGTTTGGTTATCTACAGCAAACGGATTTGGTATAAAGTATTGAGACCGATACAGCGGCAATAATTTCGTACCAAGGATCAAGATTGAAAGTTCCGCTTGTAAATGCGATGTTTCGATATTCACTTAATGAAGACATATTGAATCGCTAAGCGGCGAACGAGATAGTCAATGTTTTAAATTGACATGCGGTTTATGTTATCTCTTTCTTTTTTTAGGAATATTGTAATTTCAATAACCAAAAAAGAAACAAATTAGAGTAAAAATCATACATAATTGCATTCATATATGGATTTTTTGTTTTGTGTTTGCGTTATTATTCTAATTAAGTAGATACTACCTACATATTTTATACACAGATGAAAACTTGTGTAGCAAAAATACGCCACCGTAGTCGCTCATAGCCCAGAAGGGCATCATTGTGGAATATAATATAACTAAAGGTACCTACTTATCCTGTCATAAAATATAGCATGTGGCAAGTGATGTCAAATAGGGCTTCAATTCCATGAGTTGGTGAAAATCGCAAGTCTAATAATTTATTTAGAAAGCCGGCTTGGGTTGAGAGAAGTTAACTTAGATTTTTAAAAGTTTGCGAATGTTGCGAATGCGGTGTGGCCCGTCCTCGTACCTGATAAAGTAATTCGATGATTCCCTAATTTGCACCTTTGAGGAGGGTTAAAAAAAGGTCCTTCATCCACTCCGAAAATTCTGTGCTAATAATTAAGATAGCGTTAAAAACTTTTTGGTAATGGGTTTTGTTGTGCTGAAATTTGAAATTGTTAAGTACTGCTGTTTTGATATGGGTTTCTTCTTATTTATTACGGTAGCCTTAGTTATCATGATAGCCCTTTAAAAGGTACAGAAAAAGTCCCGTTTTATATTTTCACACAATTGTTTTCTATATTATGTAACAAAACTATAGTTTATTTAAAATTATATTTATTTTTATGTCCCTGTTTTATAGACATTTTTCTTTACTTTAGCTACTTAAAGAGACAAAAGAAATATATAATATATAGAATATGCACAAATTATTTTAAACCGGTTTTTTATCAGTACGTAAAGCGTTGCAAACAAGCGAAGGGGCTATGCCTTTGTTTAGTGTGTATAAAAACGAGTACCTCGAGCCTCTTACGGTGGAAATAAGAACAAACATGTCATCGACGAAATGACGCGTGTCGGCCAATCGGGCGAGAAGGCCGCAGACGACGGTGACGTCACCTGGCCACCGACCAATCGCCGTTGCCTGTCGCCTCCGGTCAACTTGGACTAATTGCCGCTGTGTGCGATAACTCTAGGTTCGGGAGGAATCTGTGCACTCGAGTCAGCGCACACGCATCTCAACGACAATTCACACATTCATACGTGCAAATTTAAAACGAATAAAAATACGAAAAGTTCTTTTCAGGAACATTCAAATTGGCTCTGATAGGTTAAATAAAAAAATAAAAATGACAAGACGTCTTTCTGAAATGCAAAATTAATCAATTAAGTATATTTAAAAAAAATAGTGTTTTTCGTCCAAATTTACAAACCAGGTAATTTTTTCTAAAAAGTAAAGCATGGGAACGTAAAAGATACGGTTATAAATTAATGTGCAAATTATGTTAACCGGCACTTGGACAGTGAGAACTGAAAACAATGGGACAAGAATGTTAATGCATAGTAATTATTATGAACAATTTCTAACATTTACAGCATGCTTGATGCGATATTTTATGAGTATTCATTAGCATACAACTTTGGTGTCACTAGTCTAAAATTCTGATGATACTGGAATTCAATGTTCTAATTTTTATAGCCAGTAATAAAAAATGACATATTAAAGTTAATCCTACCTGTTAAAAAGTTCTTAATTTGAATAAAATCTTTACCAAATAAAAATAGTAAAATAAGCCTATTTACACATAGTATAGCCGATTCCTAATATTAAAAAAAAGTAAATGATGTTGATAAATTAAATGTTATAGGGACTTGAAAAATGTTTAGTTTTAAGTGGATTGGTATTTTAATTATAAAATAGATTGTACATTTTTTTTAATTATATAATTCTAAAATGTACTTAAAAGTAATAAACGATAACGGGGTAACATTTTTACCTAATATTCCTTGAGGACTATTTTATAAACATAATTATTTAAGCTACACTGTTGACAGAGTCGAGATTGTTGTAACTAAAAATTGTCCATATATTTTGAGACAACAGCAGTCGTAATTAGTACCTTAACTTTATTGTAAAGTAGCTTGTGTTAAAACAATTAACAGTAAAGTGTTATATCTACGACAATAAAATTTTTATATTTATATTCAAGTAATTTTAATATTGAACACTGTCTTTATTACTATTGAACCCTGTGTACATTTAAGTCAAAGGTCTTGCATAATTGCAATCATAGGTCCAACATCAAGCTATACATATAATCATCTAGAAAAATTAATAGCCAGAGGAATGAAATGACTTTGTTTAAAATAAGCATATCTATGGTTAATTTGTAATTCTTATCTCCTGTTCTACCATTGGTAAAATACTCTTTTGCCTTTTTGGTCAGTTGTAATGTACCTATATCGTTAACTATATTGTATCCAAACGTGACAGAGATTTATTCTTACTAACTTTTTAACTCATTTTTTTAACTCGTTAATTTTGACGTCAAACAAGCAACCTTTATCTGTAGGTAAATCGTTATTTTTATCTCATTTTAAAAATGAATGACAGTTTAATCAATTAAAAAAAATCTTATTTAACACATAACAAATGAATTTTATTAAAATAATGTACAATTGCATATTATATTTAGTATTTTCAGTTGATTTTCTTATTTTTTATTTTATCGAGGTTTTCTAATGTTGGTAGGTATAGGTACTTTTTACCCAATTTAAGTAGAGCAAATTTTCTTACAGGATATTTGAAATACGCTACTTGAGGCTACTTATTATGTGTAAAATAGCTTATTGTACTTGGTGCTATTAAGTTTTGTAAGTCTTTAAAAACCTATCTTTAGCTGTCGCTTCCAGACAAATGACCACGGTCATATGCAAATATTGACTAAAGAGCTACACTATTAAGTAGCTCGTTGCCGACTTGAATAGAGTCTCTACATGGTGTGTAGATGAAGAAGCGTGGACTTAGTGGGATTAAATCACATTTTCTATTATTTTTCCTGTGATTTTTTTTTTCGGAATATTACTGGCCAATTAAATACTGTAAAAAATTCAAATTTCTTGATATAGATATAACTAATGGCTTGATGGAGATAATAAAAAAATTAATAAAAATGTTATGATTGGTGTTATTGCGTAGTGATTTTTATAATTAAACGTTTGGAAGCGTGAACGTTATGATATAAGTACTAGTAATAGATGAAAGAAAGTTATAAATATAAGACTACCAAGTAAATAAAAAATATAAAAAGTGAAAATTTTTGGTGATAATGAATATCAACACACCTTGCGCGATGCGTACAGCTGGCATTTTAATTCTCATCTTGATTTGGTCACCTATTTTTAGATCTTCAACAACTTCTTTTATCTTGGAAAATCTTTATCTTGCTATCTCCCTGTGACAATTGTTTTTGTAGCACTTCACATGTGCCGCCGTCGGTCCGGCGACTTATCGTCCGTTGCTTAAAGCTATTTCGATAACAAAGGTCGTGGTGTCACTGAATTGTTCTGTTTGAAAGTCCGACGGTAAGTAACGTAAAATAAATAATTAATCATCTTTTTAAATTAATCATCATTAAAATTTTCAAATAATAACAGTACTGAATTTACTTTTTCCTCTTCATGTTGTGATCAAAAGGACACAAAATCAGTCACTCGATAGCGGAATGTTGTTTACTCGCCAAAATGTATTGGTCATAAAACGTTGTTATCAACACTTGAATAAACGTCTCAGTGCTCTATCTAATCTGCACACCGTAGTGGCGATTTTGCAATTCCGCTATCGAGACGTATATTATTGCACTATTTAATTTTTTGATTATTGAACTTCTTCACTTTCAGTCAAAGTCACTGGGTTTTCATAAATTGGTGTACAACTGTTCTTAATAATTTATGCTGAACATGAATGGGACGATAAAATTAACAACATAATAAAAAAAACAGAAATTTTGCATGAAGTCTATTTTGTTTGTGAAATTGGCGAAGTGGCGGATCGCGATCGAGTACGCGCGTGCGGAGCGGTGCTAAGCAGGTGCGCAGCCGGCCGCCCGCTCTCGCCCGATGTCCGAGAGCGTCTGTCCTGTGTCCCTTTGCGCGAGGGCTCCGCGGCCTCGTGTCCACAATTCTCGCCGTCTCGCTCCGCCGGCCGACTACGGCGCGTGCGAGTCCATACGAAGTGGCCAGGGGTTACTCGCGGTCGCCGACGCCTCGGCAACTCGACAGAGACGACACCATACTCCCACAAACTTAGTTCTCTACAGCGCGAAAAGGATAGGCATAGATCATAAGTGCCGTGCGTTGGTGTGCGTGTGCGGGTGGGGCGAAGATGCAGCGCGTACAAAAGAAAAGGGATAATATTTGCCTGCATATTTCATGACTCGATTAAGAGATGGAATTTTTAATTGAATGGACCTGTGACACGCGGTCAGTCTTTTCTGTAAAATGTTAAATAGCTACATATATTAAACACATACATAAAATAAAGTTTTTTTTAAAGTTCTAGTTCTTATAATATGGCTTTATACTTCTCTAATATATTTAACACTTTGGTTTTTTGGTGTAAATTTGTACAACCTCCTTAAGTAAATATTTATTAGTAACACAAAAAATGTTAATTCCACTTAATTAGAGCTATAATTTAGTGAATATGAATTATAGTTGCTTTTGAATATAAATTAGACTCTACGGTCTCCGATCCCGCGTAGCATACAGCTACGAGCGCGTAGCGTATTATCGTAGATCAGCTCTATTATGACTCGTGTAGTCGTGACTTGTGTAGATCAAAAGCATTTACATTTTTTCATGTTTAATTTTTCAGAGTATAAATAAACAGTTCCGTATCAAAATCACTAAACGCAACACGTTGGCGAACTGTACAGACACTAGGTCTTTCACTTTCACTCTTACAAGTTTCCGGGCGCATTTTTCCCCAACGTTATTTTACTTAAGACGCTACAAGGAACTTATCTCGGTCGGTCCTTGACTTTAATAAGTTTTATGAGTGTCAGTCGAGACTTAACTGGCGCGAGAACGGGCGGCGAAAAAGAACTTTTTCATAATTGTTTCACGACTAACTTCGTGAACTTTTAAGTTTTGCGAACGAATATTGAAAGTTATGTATGTCATCTCAAAATGCTAGACTTTTAGACTAAATAATGAAGATTACCATATGAGCACGACTGATAACTACTTATTTACATATTTGAATTGAAAATTAAAAAATAAAATAAAAGTAAATTATTTATTAATTATAATTATTGATTTAATTAAATGTTATCAAAAACAGCGTAAAAATATTCTTAAAGTATTGTGAATGTTTTTATTTTTTCATGAACACTTTTTTGCTTCAGACAATGAATGCAAAGTGTAGAATAATGACGTTGGTCAAACAAATAGGTTGAACATTAATATATTAGAAGTCTGGGTCATTTTAGGCTCGACTAAGTTGCAAGTAGAAAATCATTTCATCTCCCTCTAAACGCTACGTATGTAGGTTGAAAATCGAGACAGGTAAAGAATTACACGTTTTCCCGGACAGAAAACTAGGGATATAATGACGTATGTATGCCCATCTCATTCATATGTTGGGATATGTTATGAACATGAAAAGGATGGTGCTACGTACGGGAAAATTCTCGTGTGTGGAGCCTCCAACGGTAACTCGACGCTACTTGACGCCAGGCGGCGTGGAAACGGGAAAATATACAAACCTTCGGAGAGGTTCTTTTCGATTTCTGATATAACACTGTGATTGCAATACTGAATAAAATTCTGTATGTTAATTATAAAAATTAAAACTATGACTACACATAATATATAACTATTAACTTATAAATAGTATTTAAAATCCATTTAATATTTATACTCATATTGTGAAATAATCTCTTATAGTTTTTAGTACCTATATATATTTCGACATTTTAATTAATAATTTATAAACAATAATAAATGTTTTTAAAGTTCTAGTTCTTATTTGTTTTAAATATATTAAAACAATTAAGAAACAAACAAAGGTAAATCTCAAAATCTATATTGTGTTTGATTGTATGCTTTTCCCGGTGACATAATTGGTAAAGTAATCCTCTCTAACTAATTAAACATATATATGTAATAAGACTATATCCATTGTTAGCTGACTTTACAGTAACAAAAATTAATAAAACTAAAAATTCGGGATTTTTGAGGGGTGTTTGTTTTTTTTAGGTACTCGCATCATGATTTATATTGCTAACTCAAAAGCTCTATAGCAGTTTAAATACGGTTTTAGTTTTTTTACATAATAATTAAGGCATATTTTAATAGTTATGAGTAAAGTTTCATGTAATAATGGAATTGAACTTAAAAACTCTATACTGTTTATCTTAAGAGTATATAATTAGATATTGCGTTAAGGATACATGCTCCTTTTTAAACGAGCACACATTCCACCTGATGGTAATTGGTTGCTATGGCTCATAGACATCTGTATCTAACCTCGATTAGGAATCAAAATGCTGATGCATTGTCTACCGCGAGGACTAAGATGGAATTTCTGGTTTCCGTAACAAGGGTCTCCGGTTCTCTATACTCACTATACGAAACACAACAGTCTTATGCTGCTATTTTACGCTGGTATTCTGTGAGAGCGTGGTCCTTCCCCAGCCAGGCCGAGCCAACCCATTCGTGCTACAACTATACCACAATTATAGCTGCACCACGTATAATTGTTTTTATTAGTCGGATACCACAAGTCATTTGGCTTTTCTATAAAGACAATAGTTACGCTCACTTACAAATTATCACATTAAATTTAACTCAATTTTAATTTGCGAGTTATGTTATTATTTCATTTTTATTTCAACCACTTGTAACGTCCAAATAATTGAAACTATTTAAGTAGCAAGAACCGTTGAGAGACGTTACATCCTTTTAGTTTTTGAGATGTAAAAACTACTTTTTTCTAAAGATCTATAATTACACGTTTGACGGTCGGTTTTTTGTGTAATCTGTGACAGATGCGACGCAGGATACACGAAATTGCTCAATTTGAAACTTGTAACGTTATATTTGTGAAAGTATCGAGTTTTGGGACTTGTATTTGCACGTGAAAATTATCATTGATTAAAAAATATTTTTTTTAATTAATGAAATATTTAAGTATGCCAGTGTTTGTGATTCATTGCAATTTAAAATTATTTTTACGATATTATCTTGTTGTTTAAGTTAAACTTAAAGTATATTTATAAATATATATGTTAAATTTTATAGGACTTTACAATATTAGTTGTGGCGTTTTCATTTATGTTCTGCAGATTCAAGTGTTCACCTTAATAAGTTTCAAAGTAATTGAGCAATAAAGCTACTAGAATTTTAATCACAGGTCTCAATTTTTTGGTTCACGAAGACAGAACTATTACTACTAAATTTGGAAAATATATTGTAGAATCAATAAACACAACCAAATAGCGTAGCAGTCGTTTCTAATTATTTTGTTGCGTTTTTATAGAATAAGGGTGACAAACGAGCCCACAGTCCAACGGATGGTAAGTGGTTGCTGAGGTTCATATAGCTATATTTATCTTCAATTAATAATCAAATTGCAGATGCGTTGTCGTTTCTTAGGATCAAGATGGAATGCCTAGTAAAAAAGGGTACCCGGTTCTCAACAATTCTTTTAAAATATTTTAATCTTTCGTCAATACTAGCTGGTAGGTGTTCTACGTGCCTAGGTGTCTCCTGACTGGGTCCCACTTACATATTTTTCTTTCCCACTTACCTATTCATCATCATTCATCTGAGTAGGTCCCACATACCTATTTTGGTTGTACAAGTGTAGTGCTTGTTTTGCTGTGTTCTGATTTGAAGTTACAGGCTGTGAGACATTCCATCTTAGTCCTCTCTGTTGACAACGCATCTGTAGCCTTCTTTATTTGAAGTTGGTTGCCGGTGTCCATAGGTTGCAATTGCTACTTACCATCAGTTGGAATTTCAACAAGCTCGTGTTTAAAAAAAGAAAATATTATAATATTTTAAACCATTTTGTATATTTATTATTTATTGATTTTATTTACTACGACTAGAATAGAATGGAATAGAATAGAATAGAATAGTAACTTATAATTAAAATTAATCTACTCTCAAAGAACCTCGAGATATAATAGTATGGTGTGTTTTTTATTCCTCCATTCTTCCATTCTCTCCATCTGCTATGGTGTTCCCCAAGGAAGTATTCTTGGCCCTACCCTGTTTCTTCTTTACATTAATGACCTCTGCAAACTCAAACTAGTGAACGGAAAAATAGTAACTTTTGCAGATGACACAGCACTACTATTTACTGGTGATTCA